GGTTCAAATCCACCAGCAGCTCCACAGGAGAAAGATGAGGCACTAGGGTTCCCTGAAGAGTTACAGCCTTGGAAACATCATGGGGCATTCTACCATGTCCTACAGGGTTGCTATGAGTCTCAATCGACTCAGGCAGGTGGTTTTTTGGCTTATGTGTAAGAACCTATACTTGGGGGAATCTTACAACTGATTTCTGTTCATTAAGAATACCAAGAATATCAGGTAGCCATTGCAGAAGTTATCTCCTATGGTATATTAAAGATGGCCACCCTTTAAAACAAGTGCCAAACTCCAGAGATGGAGTCAATTTTTCCTTCCCTTGAATCAGGCTGGAACTGGAACTTGCATTAACAAGAGAATGTAGACCTGAAACTATCACTTCCCAAGTTGGGCCTTAAGAAATCTGTAATTCCCTCTCACGCTCTTGAAACCTAAACATCTTATGAGAAGCCCAAGACCCAGGGAGAGAAAACTGAGGTGCCAGTTGACAGTCCCTGCTAAGTATCCAGCCAATACTCAGCAAAAACAAGTCAAATGTGTGAGTCATCTTGGACAGTTCCAAGCTAGCAAACCTCTGGATGACTGTAACTCCACACGGCACCACACACAGAGAAGAACCTCCCAGCCTACCTCAATCAACCCACTGTCTTGAGAGACAATAAACGATAATTGTCACTTAAGCTATTGAGTATTGAGGTGGTTTGTTCTACAGCAACAGACAGTCAAAACATTTGCAGAGCCACCTAGAGACCCAGGCTGACACCAGTTCCTGCTCTACTCAATCTTCCATAGGACAGTAATGATAGACCCAGGAGCAGCTAAGGTGGCTAGGATGGGTTTGAGAAGAAAACTTCCCATTGTGGGGCATGGTGGTTAAGACCATGAACTCTGGAGCCAGACTGACTTGACTTTGAATCCTGGCTTTGCCTAGTACTAGCTATGTACCTAGTAGAAGTAATTTAACTTTGCCATGCCCCAGTTTCCCTTTATGTAAAACTGTGATAGTAATATGCCCCACCTCCTAGGTTTATCATGAAGATTTAATGTCAGTACCTGTAAAGCATTTAGGACAGAGCGTGTGTTCAGTAACCACTGTCTCTTAATACTACTACTCCTCCTCCTCACTGACATTGAGTCAGATCCAACTCATGGCAACCTCTCCTTGGATTTCTCTCCAAGGTGGTATCTCTATGGAAGTAGATTGCCCAATCTTCCTTCTGAGGAGTGGCTTGTCGGTTTGAACCTCCAGCCTTCTGGTTAGCAGTCAAATGCCATAGGCACTACTCATAATCTGTTCTGTTCTACATTTAAAGGAGCTCAGGTAGTGTGGCCATCAGCTCACAGCTGTGGGAAGAGTTTGCTCCTCGGGACTGAGGGAGAGTGAAGGTGACATCCATTACAGGTTTTGTGTTTGCTCCTGTGCATAAGGAAATGGATCCCTGCCATAAAAAAACATGAACTTGATCAAAGCTAAATCTGATTGGCCTCACAATGGCAAGGGAAAAAACTGGAAATCAGAGTGAACAGT